TTAGAGCACTTAATTAGTATATCTTATTGCCTCTTAATTTTGAAGGAAGTGGACAACCTTTAGGCCCCAGGATCTATTGGCAGTCTCTTTTTTGTTTGTTAAAGCCATTTTATCACAGATTGACCTTGGACACACTGGTAGGGAGCTCTTACAAAAATGCATTAGACTCCTGCTGTTTTCCCCTGTGTGTTCAGCTGTTGGTTGGCTGCCCCTCACATATATAGAAAATATATATATCTTGGGTGACCGGAGACATGCATGTATGTAATATTTCATTCTAATACTCTGTTCAGGGACAAGATTCATGAGTTTCTCTTAAGCTACAAAGCAAACTTACATCAGCTTCCTTAAACTCTTTGCACACCATGAAGTTAAGTGTTGGGACTTTTGATGTCTTGCCAGCATGTGTGTCATGGTGTTGTGCGTAGAAATAACCATGAAGCAGAGCTAGAGGATTTATTCTTCAGTTTCCAAACTCCTTTGTGACGTATCAAAGATAGTGAGAAGCTTGTTCAGATCAAGGCATAAGAGAAATATTACACTTGGAATTTGTGTCAGTGATATTTTTCTGATCAGCAAGAAATGCAGTGTTCTTGTAAGCCTTCCACATCTCTGTTGGTTCTGTCAAATGCAAATGACATAATATTTAGTGTTCAGTAGAACTTAGAACTTTTTGATCCTTTTGAATTAAGCCTTAGGTGGAATGACACATAATTTAATCAATGTTTCTCCAATGAATATCTTCAGATGAAAGCTGTACCACCTGAAAAGTGTTAAGTTGTCAGCCAATAGTAAACTAGATTCAATTTCATTTTCTGTTAAAAGGATAAAACATCGAACATTAGATAATAGGCCTAACTTATATATGTAGGTGAATGAGTTGATAGGGTTTAAAAGTAGCAGAGTGGATGGTGTCAGTTCAAAATGCAAATGAAACACAATATTTCAGGAATTCTTTGAGAATTCCTGAAGAACAGGATACGTTCCAGCAGACTGGAGGAGGGCAAATACTGTCACCATCTTCAAAAAGGAAAAAAGAAGACCAATAAAGAAGACCCAAACAATTACCTCCTAGTCAGCCTGACATTGATACCAAGAAATATTCTAGAGCAGATGACAAGACAAAGCACTTAGAAATAAATGATCAAGATGGGTTTCTCCAAAGCAAGCCAAACTTATCTCTTTTTTGATAGCACTTGACAGATGAAATGGGTAGTATGGGTATAGAGCATGTAATGATTTCATTAAGGCCATCAGCAAAGTTTCCCATGGGAGCCGTTCAGCAGTGGAACTCTCTGCTCCAGAGTGTGGTGGAGGCTCCTTCTTTGGAAGCTTTTAAGCAGAGGCTGGATGGCCATCTGTCAGGGGTGCTTTGAATGCAATATTCCTGCTTCTTGGCAGGGGGTTGGACTGGATGACCCATGAGGTCTCTTCCAACTCTATGTTTCTATGATTCTATATTCCTACAAATGTCGTCTAGTTCACTAAAATGTGGGTCAGACAATGCTACTGTTAGGTGGATTGCGAATTGGTTGGCCAAACCCAAAAGGTGCTCACCAATGGCTCCTCATCCTGGAGAGAAGTGACCAGTGGGGTGCCACAGGCATGCTTACCATATTTGCAGATGACACCATACTAGATAGGGTAGCTAGCAGGCAACGTACGGGATTGGAATTCAAAATCACTTTAACAGGTTGAAGAGTAGTGCCCAAACTACTAAAAGGAATTCCAATAGCGGGAAATGTGAAGTACTGTGCATAGCCCCCCCCCCCCCAATGAACAGTACAGACACTGGATGAGTGATACCTGGCTAGACAACAATACATGTGAAAGTGATTTGGGAATTTTAATAGAGCACAAGCTGGACATGAGTCAACAGTGTGATGCAATAACTTAAAAATCCAGTGTGAGTCTAGGCTACATCAGTATTGGTGTCTAAATCAAGGAGAGTCATAGACTCACTCTATTTTGATTTGGTCAGACCTCGTCTGGAATACTGTGCCCAGTTCTGTGCACCACAATTCAAGAAGGACATTGACAAGCTCAGATTTATCCATAAAAGGGTGGCCATTATAGCAAAAGGTCTGGAGCCGAAGCCCTGTAAGGAGCAGCTTAAGAAACTGGTGTGTTTAGTCTATAGAAGAAAAGGTTGATAAATGTCATGATAAATATTTGAAAGGATTGAAGGCTTTGTAATCTGTAGAAACTAGGACATGGAGGAGTAGATTCAAACTGAAGGAAAAGAGTTCCCAACTAAATGTTAGCAAGAATTTTCTGACCACAAGAGCTGAATGATAGTGGGATATAATGCCTTGAAGTGTGATAGACTCTCCTTCTCTGGAGATTTTTCAACAGAGGCTGGATGGCCATCTGTTGTGGATGCTTTGATTGTCCATTCCTGCATGGCAGAATGGGGTTGGACTGGGAGGCACATTTGGTCTCTTCCAGCTGTGTGATCCTATTGCAATAAGCAGTCAGTTGATCTGTTTCCCTTTTAAACCTATCCATTACTTTAGGAGCAAATTATTTTTACTGACTTTACTGAACAGACAGCAAAGCAGACCAGCTTCTCCCACCAAGCCATTTTAAACATTGCAGTTTTTCTCATTCTACTACATGAATAAAGCAAGTCTTGGATTTTGTGGTCACAAATAATCCTTTTCTAGTTAAACCCCTACCTCTCAAAGTGCGTTTGATGTGTATTCTACAATAATCTTAAACGCATAAGATTCATTTCTGAGTTTTTTCCCATATGTTATGCACCTCTATATTGGTAAATTTAGATATCATGATTGCTTGAATTTGACCTTGTCTGTGCCTGATTCTTTCTTGATATGTAAAAGTAAATTATTCATTATAATTCTGTTAGCAGTCATTTTTTTATCAGTAAAGTATCTATAAAAATAAATATATAAAGGGAGAAGATTAAAATCAGAACAAATGCCAGGTTTATATTACATTTTTCTTTTTTTTTAAATGAATTTTATTACTAAGAAAAGGGGAAAAAAACAGTTATATGCACTTTACAAACAGAACACACAACATACAGAGACAGTAACAACCACAGTAGACAATACAGTCACTTCATCTCTGCACCCTTGAACCCCGTCATCTTGGAACTTCTGTCCCAGCTTACTATGATACCCATACCTACCCATATAAGTTCCTTAAATTCTTCCTCTTGTAGCATCCTTAAAGTCATAATTTGCCTTCTTTCCAAGATATGCGAAGGCAGCTACCATTTGTTTACAAACTTTTCAAAGTTTACAAGACAGCTTGGCAATTTGTATATAATTTATTATTTTTTCTCTCCAATCACTCTTGATTAGTTTCCTTTCTCCCTTCCATGATTCAGCTATAACCATTATTGTTGCGACAAAGCTATATTGGCATATTTCTTTATCTTCCTGATTTATACCCTTTCTAAATAGATCTAGAAGCACTTTGCTGGGCTTTTCTTGACCTTGTTGGTGAGCATGTTATTTGTTTCCATAACCATACCTGTCTTCTAGATAGTACTCTAGAATGTATTTGTATAAGCTGGAGATTATGCTCTTATTTTCCATACTGAAAATGCACTCCAGCTTAGATTTCTTTTCCTCAAACCCTACTTTAGCACCTTTAATTAATCTATTGTGTAATTTATGAAACCAGAACCAGTCATTGATGCCTATCTCTTGTCTTCCTTTTAGATTCCAGTGATCTTTTTCTTTAAATACACATTCTTTATAAGATCTTATTTCACCTTTGGATGTTGGCCTTTGGACTGCTTCTAATGAGCGTAACCATAAAGGGGTTTCTGCTCCATTCTTCCTTTATATCTCTTACAGATTTTAAGCAATTCATCAATATGTTTTGTTGATAAGCTTTTAGTTAGAAACATAGATTTCTCTTTGTTGATTTTAAATCCAAAATTGAATCCATACTTAACTGATTGTTTCCATTAGCGCCTGTATTCTCTGTGTTAGGTCTCCTAAAATACAGACCATGTTGTCTGCATAGGCCTTGACTTTAAATGCATGCCCTTTTATAATCACTACTTTAATACTATTCTCTTATTCTAATGTTTATAACTTCTAACACTAGGATAAAAAACAAAGGCGACAGAGGGCATCCTTGTCTGGTCCCCCTTTTGGATCTCACTGATGTCTGACAGCTGACTGTTAAGTCTCAGTCTAGTGCTTTGTTGGGAGTAAATAGCCCCCACAGCCCTTTTGACTTGTAGGTCCTCCCCAAACCTTCCCAATACTTTTTATAGAAATTCCCAATTACATTATCAAATGCCTTTTCTGCATTCACTCCAGTTACACTATATCTCTGATTGGGTCTTGTTCTGCAACCTCTAATATATTTAGCATCATTCTGATTTAGCTGTCTAACAGGAAGAAAATATTACATTTTCCCGTTGGGTAGTACACAACTATGGGGAAGAATACTAATAACTAATAAATACACAGAGCATTGAAATTACAGCCTTTTCAGTCAGATAAAAAAAAGGAAGGGGAGAATGTTAAGTGATCATAAAACTATTCCAGTGTCAGGATGGTGTTGTTCTATGTGTATTATATGAAAGGAATGTAACGTTCAAGTTATGGTGACAAACGTAAAATTGCTAATGTCTTGAGACATTAATTGCTTATCACAGAATAATCTGAAATGTATTTTGTAAAGAGTTTTTTTAAAAAAAAATTAATTTCTGCATTGCAGTAGAGGACTTTGGTATCAATAGCAAAGCACTAGCTTCTTCACTGTAATGGATTATTCCAGTTGGGAGTTGTTGGTTCCAAATAAATATTTAATAGAATGTTCATTAGCTGCCTTCTGGAGTTATATGTGTTAGTGTAACCAGAGTGAATCAGAAAGACCAGCTTGCCAGTTCCCATTCTTGCGAGATTGTCCATGATGTCATTGCTGAAGATGAAATATTTTGTTTTCTCAAAATGCTCAGTATTTGTTCCTGTTTGTAAAGTAGTCTTGTAATGTCTTTCTCATCTTTTCAGATTGGTACACAAAACACTCTGGAGCTCCTAGAAGACTCAAAAGCAGAGGTTGTAGATGAAATTGCTGCCAAGCTTGGCCTGAGAAAGGTAACGAAACATCTTCAGGCCAGCATATCCAGGAAACATCTTATGTTGGAAGAAACGTTACTAGGCACCATTATTGCCAACCATACTTGTTAAACTAGAGTTGATCAAAATTTATGATATAGTCTGTTGGGACATAAACAGTAGATTTGGGTCATTAGGCTGAAATGTGGTTTTGTAGTTTGTGCAAATTTTCCCCATCATGTTGCCTGTTCTTGAGCCAGCATGGGCCTGGGTGGCAAACAAACCTGCATTGCTACTGGCTGAAAGGTTGGTAACTTCAAAATTGGTAATCTACAGTGCTTCTTAAATTGTGGGTCCTGACCCCTTTGCTCAATGTTGGGGTCCCAAAAGATTTGCAATAGTAAAGGTTTTCTGAATGTCTCCTACTGGTTACTTTAGACATTTACACACATATGTTGTGTAGTGTTTACAGTGGACTCTGCAAAAGATGCTTCAGCTGTATATCATAAAAAGGAAAATCAGCCTTTTTCGCAAGCTGTGCAAATGCAGAATTGGTACCAGGAAAGGTTTGGTTTTTATACCTGCTTTGTATACCTATATACCCAGGGTCACATAAAAGTTTCTCAAATAGAAAGAGCTCATGAATGGAAGCATTGAAGAAATTATGCCTTAGAGAAGGGGTTGTCAAACTTTTTCAACCATTGAGCCCTTTTTGAAGCAGAAGTTTCTCATGGAGCCCCAAGATATGTTTATATATTATAATGTATATCATATTATATATAATATAATATGAAGGATTGCTTCACATGGAGGTCACATGGTCACCAGGACCACGTGGCCAGTATGCTGCATTGGTTGCTAGACCCATATATCGGGAAGGGAAGGAAGGGAGGCAACCAGCCAGGAAGGAGGTGGGGAGCCCACGGAGCACACTTTGAGAACCTCTGCCTTAGAGGGATGGAAGAAGTAAAACTTATCTGCTTGCTCCCACTGTTCAGTAGCTGTTCTAGTCTCTTTTCTTGGCTTTCTCTCATTTATAATGCTGGGGATCCCAGTCCTTGTATGTGTCTGTGGTAATGTGTACATGCTTTAAACAGCTTCTCCGAGGAGACCGAGTTTCTTGTTTGTTTCACTGTATTCAGCTCTGTTGACATCAAACCGCTGCTGTAGTTAAAGTGTACCAGTTTAATAAGGGTAACCTTCACAACTGTAGATTACCAATTTTGAGGTTACCACCCTTTCAGGCAGTATCAATGCAGTTTTGCTTGCACCCAGGCCCATGTTGGCTCAAGAGCAGGCAAAATGACGGGGAAAATTTGCAGAAACTACAAAACCACATTTCAGCCTAATGACCCAAATCTACTGTTGTTTATGTCCCAACAGACTATATCCCAAGTTTAATCAGTGATGCAAAGAAAGTATAGATGAGTTTACATTTACAAACCTTTTGGAATTCTACAGCCTGCTAAGCAGGCTCAGGCTTTTTCAGCTGGAGGAGGAGAAGGAGGGAAGACAAAGAAGTGCCAGCAATGAGTAGTGACTTCTTGTCATTCCTCTGACCTCTTCTTACTCTATTACCTGCTTACTGCTGGAGCTGACAGAGCAGTGAAGGCACTGGGTATCATCTGCTCTATTTGCACATTCCCAGTCTTATAGGAACAGTGGTGGCCTCAATCTTAGTGTTTCTAGTCATTGATTTGAGGATTAGAATTCCAAAAGTGATCAGGTATAGAGATAAATCATCAGTGAGTTCGTAGCAAACAGCTAACATACATTGCTACCAATTTACAGATTTTCATGAGGATTATTCCTCATGCTGAGGACCTAGGCAGACTTGGGGTATACAGAAAAAGAGTTTGGTTTGCATGTGACCCATGAACTGCACTTTCATGGCCTTTGCTTGTAGTAAATCAGATACACTGTTTGGATCTTGATATTCCTTTATCTGCAAACTGTCAATGATTTAATAGGTGCATTAATTCTGGCATTATTTTTAGGCAGAAACACCCCAGATCCACACTTCACTTTTTTGTAATTTTATAAAGGCATTCCGTGTTTTGCCAGTAAAGGAATACAGTCATTGCCCCCTCCCCCCGGCTACCCATTTTGAATATTCTAAAGGGTGGTGTCAATGGGCTACATAAGGCAGAATATTCAGTAATAGGGATATAGGTTTATATAGACATCTCCATCAAAATCCACTTTCCGGATTTTGTTTGAATCTAGTCTTCTGTTAAAGTTATTTGGTTATATAAATGGCCACTAGTCTCCTTTCTAACTACAAAGCACACCTGGTTTAATTCATAACTTTTCTGTAAATATAACAGAAATGTTTCCTGGAATAGTACTGAGTGTTCAAAGATTGAACTATAAATAGAGGAGTATTTGGATATGTATCTACATTTCAGACAGGCTTCTGGAGAACTATTTCACCATGATCAAAAGGGATTCAAGAAAGAGGACATTTGAGCAGTAAAATGACCCCTTTTAAATTGAGTAGCACAGGAATTTGACATCTTGAGAATATTTTTGTGAACTCCTTCTGAATTTGCAATGAGATCACAGAAAATGAAATATGTTCTTGTGTGCAGTGAAGTGGGTGGGGGAAACTTGCAGCCTCAAAATCTTTCCATAAGGGGACATAAAACTGCACATTTTGCCTGTTGGCATTTCAAATGTGTAAATTGTCCTCAAATTTATCCCCAGCTAGAGCAGTCATTTTCTTCAGGCTACTGTGAATCAGGCTTTATCAAACAGAACTTTTGAGCTAAAAACATTTTGTACTTGTGGAGGAAGAGTGCCTTTTAAAAATATACATCAGAAAAGTGATATCAAAAATTGTGTTTAGGTTGGCTGGATATTCACAGATCTGGTCTCAGAGGACACACGGAAAGGGACTGTCCGGTATAGTCGGAATAAGGTGAGAAGCAAGTGTTTTATAGTCTTTGCTCTCTTGCGTTTCTTGCTATTTTCATTTCATCATATATACAGGCTTTGCCAAAGAAATGTTTCTACAGAAACCTGTGAGAACGGTCTTGCTGTTCAAGATTGGTCACATTGATTATAGCGACCACAATTCGTACTCTGGAAAGAAATTGGGGAAGATATGTTTCCATGTCATGGAGTTGTGAGTGAGGGTATGGAAAAGAGGCTTGCATTCTGACTAGCCACTTAGTATTTGGCAGAGATACACCATCATCTTTTCATTGATACATACCTTGTTTCACTGGGCGACTACATTCTCATCTTTGTGAAATCCTGGTGTCTCCACTAAACATAGAAGGGCTTCTCCATAATTTCCTTAATTTTTGAGCTGCTGCCCAATTCTACAGTGATGGCTGAAGAAAGCTGGCCTTATAGCAGAGTTGATAGTGATGTCTCCTAACTAGATGCTACTCTTTGTCTGTAGCAAAATATCATAGACTTATTTTTTTCATTCACCTTTAACACAACCTGAGATAGATTCAGGCAGAGCCTAAAACCATCTGTATTCTACCAGTGAAGTGCATTCCACTCCATTCTTCATTTTATGGAAGAAAAGCACATGGCTGAAATTAACCTTTTCTATGAAAATCATTGACATGATTCTCCTTCAGCCTTAGTCTTACCATCTACCAGTCTTTATGTCTACCAGATGTGAGCAGTCGGGCAACATTAAGATCTTAGACCATATGTGGCATTCTAGATTCTTTTCTTCCCAGCTTTTGGGCTCATACTGGGTTCCAGACAATCTAAACATCCATGCATCCTAAACAGTAAATTTTGAGTTGTCCTAGCCTTGGAGAGAGATCATAAACCTTGGCTCTGAAGCTTCAGCAACATGAAGTCAGATAAATACACCTGATTTATTTGTCCTTTTCAATATCTCATTTCTAAGCTTGATTTTTTTGGTAGCCTAAGAATTACTTGCTAAAATTAAGATTTAAAACTAAGCACAGAACTCATTGTATATGTTTATTAAGAAGCACCAGATCTCTCTTATTATTGCTTCCACTCTTCAATCAGAAAATAATGTATTTTCACCAATGGCATCATAGGGCTGAAGTGTGCACTAGTGGTGGTAAAATGAGCAGCTCAGAGATAGAAAAAGATCATGTAGTGCATTTTGTCTTCATTTCCCATCATGGTGATCTGTGCTTGACTTGAAGTCAGCAGTCCATGCTTGATCTTAAGAAGGTATTATGACAATCAGTGCATAATGGATCAGCTCTTACTTCTGTTGTTTTCCCACCTTCTCTAGGACAGTTATTTTCTAAGTGCAGAAGAGTGCATCACAGCTGGGTATTTTCAGAATCAGCAGCCAAACATATGCCGCCTTTCTCCAGATGGTCACTTTGGATCAAAGTTTGTCACTGTTGTGGCTACAGGTAAATATGCATACACATTACAGCCTATTTGGGTTGTCTGAAGGGATTTCCCTCCTGTAGATAATGATAAAATTCTTTTTCTTCTATTGAGAGTGCTTATTTTAATGAGATTGCTTTTTTGCCCAATATTCTTAAAATATTTCCTCATTATGTTTCTGTCCTGTGTACAAAAACACTAAGGCAAACCTATTTTGGTGTATAGTATGTCTGACTAAGAAATATCATTCTGTACTAAGATCAATACTTTGGCCTATATTTAACTTGTTTAAAACCATTGAAAAACCCTATGAAATTCATGAGCTCATCATAAATTGATAGGCATTATGAAGTAATATACATAGCCAATGTCTGTAAAATTCACATTTAAGCTGCTTCCTCTTCAGTTTTTTAAAACTTGGATTGCAAGTTACAAACTATTCAGTTATCAGAGCAGAACTCTATTTGCAGGCACTTAGTTTTCTTTAATGTGGTATGTCTAAGTGTAATTTGCTGGTTCTGATGTTGCTCACATTAACAGTGATGACAGTGCAGAGAAACAGTGGCAGATATTCATTTGATGTGCATCATACATGTCCCTCTGTGTCCACTGTAAAAAGGATGTGAATTAACTGCTCTGAGAACCTTTGAAACCACACAAAGGAATGAATGTGAAGTGTATGTGACTTTTTAAACAACCCCTCTCTGACTGGAAAAATGTTTTGGGATTTAATGTGTTGCTTACTCTTCAAAGCCTTTTAGCCCTGGAGTAGTCTGCTATCTCTGAGCTGGAACCTTTAGGTGTGATCCCTAATAAATTGATGTGATAAATTATACAGTTAGTGACATCTCTTTGTTGTAATTTCAAGTCTTCTGCAGAGTATGTTTTTTTGTCTTCTCCTATCTTGACTGCCCATTTGCAAATGATTCTTCCACTCCAGCTGTAGACAGTAGCTGTTCTTCATAGTCTCTGTGCCTTACATGAGTGGGGTTTTTTTTACCTATCCAGAGAAAACAATCAGAAAGTCATGCCACTAGCAGTTAACTCTTTTAAAAAGTTAGTCATAACCCACATGTGGTGTAGAGTTGAAATCTGGGGAGATTTTTAGAGAACTTTCATAGTACATCCATAGCAAACTTTTTGGACTTCATCCAACTACACCTTTCACCCCACTTAGGCCAATGCCTTTTTTTGCTTGTCATAACTGAGCTGCTGTGCTTCACATACTGACTGAAGTTGAAACAGAATGAATGGAATCCACCTTGCAATGCAGTCTCACCTTGAAAAGCTAGTTTTTGGAGGTTTGCTACAGTACTGTGAAAATCTGACAGTGGAGACATTTCTACCTTCTGGATGTTTGGATCTTTGATTAGAGTGCAGACAAAGATTAGGGAGGTTACTATTCTGGTTTCTGCTTTTCATTAATTAAGATCAAAAGAATCATTCCAGGAAAATTTATCTTCAAACATTGACTCTTCATCAGATTCACTAAACTAATGTTTCACTCAGTTGCCTTTGAATATTTATAGGGGAGATACCTAGATTTACTGTCATTGAAACAGACTTTTACAGTCAAGCTGACAAACTTGCTCATTACATGGCATCATCATTTGTATGCAGAACTAAGACAGAAATTCCCTTTGTTGATCACTACTCACTATCTTAGTCATCTCGGGATATTTTAGCGGACGTTTTAGTGCTTGTCAACCCTTTGTTACATGGAGACTTTTGTTTGTTATACTTGTAAAAAAGCTGTTTTGTGAAAAAGAATAAAGTGTCACTTAATCTTTTCCTTTCATTTATATTTCCTATTTTAGTTATGATTCTGTTGTGGGAGCCTATGGTTAAGTACAAATACATTACAATATAAATATGTAAAGCCGCTAAAGAGGCTGCCGTCTTTTCCAGGTGGTCCAGATAACCAAGTCCACTTTGAGGGCTACCAGGTATCCAACCAGTGCATGGCTCTAGTACGTGACGAATGTTTGTTGCCATGCCGTGATGCTCCTGAACTAGGCTATGCAAAGGAATCCAGCAGTGAACAATATGTGCCTGATGTGTTCTATAAGGTAAGTATCAGTTGCTTCCATCTCCTTTGGCATATGGCTGCTGCTGCCCTCCTTTGTAGAGTATAATAAGGAAACGGGTACAGTTGCCTTGCATTCCAATGGGAATGAAACAACAGTTGCAATCAGTGGACTAGCATTTCCCCAATAACTGACCTTCTCTTCTTTCCTGTTGAGAGTGAAGTTACCTTCAAGTATAAATGTCTAATTGAACGTTGAAAGTCTAGATTAAAGTTTTTTATGCCCACGCTAGCTCTCAAAGTAACAATTGTGCTAGGTTTGTAATGTTCACTCTTTTCTCTGGCTTAAGGTAGCACATCCCTCTATCTTTTGCATGGGATGCATACCTTTTGCCCTCCTTTTGGAGATCATTTTTCAGGGTTTCCCCTCTACATGAAACAAACAAGCAAGCAAAGGTAATCATGATGCTTATTCACTGTTATCTCTTTCCATATTGGACCGTCTGCTTCTGAAGAGCTGCATGAGTTGGAATTTCTCATAAATGTAGCTCTGTCAAGATACTGATGCTTTTTTGGCTGTTAACCTCTTGTCAGGTCCTTTTGAATCTAGAAACTGAGTGGAGCATTAGAGTAAACTGTGTGGTTGAATTCTGATATTCATACTTGCACACACAAATCATAGAATCATAGAGTTGGAACAAACCTCATGGGCCACATAGAGTTGGGACAAACCTCATGGGCAGGAATATTGCATTCAAAGCACCCCTGACAGATGGCCATCCAGCTTCTGTTTAAAAACTCCCAAAGAAGGTGCCTCCACCACACTCCAGGGCAGAGAGTTCCACTGCTGAACAGCTCTCACAGTCAGGAAGTTCTTCCTCATGTTCAGTACTTCGGCAATACATACGGAACTACATATTTGAAACACTTCCTTGTTTCTCAGAAGTACTGGTATCATTCCCCAGCTCCTGTTCAAGTTATGTGGGAAGCATGTTACATGCTCCTTTTTGTCTCCTGACCAAAAAGCATTCTGAATTATCTATACCCTTGTACTTGACAGTGTATGCCACCTTTCAATTGACTTTTAATAGGTCAATTGAGAGTTAATGTCTACTTAGGAGGGATGCTCACTGAAGCAAAATGATACAACAGTGAGAGTTGACACCTAATGAGAACAGATTTTACTCTAAGGAATGTTCTTATCAAACTCCTGGTGAGCATAGTGCAAAGTGATAAAATTGAATATAAGCCTCAAGCCAGAGAGTGAGTGGTGTGCAGTTGTGGTGGGGAAAATGGAAGAAATGTGAGCAGAAAACTATGTAAGGGAAGGATCAATATATCTGGAAGATTAGATACCACCAAGGATACAGGTTACTCCCTATTCTATGACTGCAAGCAACCATTGTGGAAATTATGTCTGATGGTGAATATTTCCAGCTTATCTTCCTTGTGTTTTATGGTTCAAAGAACAGCAAATGTGAGGGGTTTTTTTTTCTGTTCTTTATTTGGTGTGTGTGTTTACTTTCTGAGCTAGAAGAAAATGGGAAAAAAATCCTGAAAATTCATTGGAAAGAATGTGCTCCCTTTCTTTACTATACTTCTTTTTCAATTAACACTGTTTTCCCCAATTTGTCAATATCTGACCAGCTGTAATGAGTTATTCGGATTGGCATTAATACACAAAATATTCATTACCATTCAGTAAAGATCGCAGCTTTTAGCAACATGAATTTGAATAGGTTACAGCTATCAACCTCACTGTTTATTTGTGCGACGTGAAGCCATCAGTTATTGGATTCATTTTTCAGAACTGTCTGCAGATCTATCTAGCTATGGCTGGCCCCTCAGAATAACAATATCAGAAGTTCTCTCTCCTTTGAGTGCAAACTTGTTGCCAGCTGAATTAATTTTCTATCTGGTTTGTTTTGTGTTGGCCCTTTCCTAAGTCACAAAAATTCCTGTTACCATTACTGTTTACCTCTGAAGGTATTATTCAACTATATTGAGAATGGAATTTAGTGTCCAAAAGTTGCACTTGATTTTTTCCCATTTGATTCTAATGTCATTCATGTTGCAAGATACTTGAGGGAATTCTATAAAGTCAAATAACCTGAACTTTTTCTTTCGCATGCAGACGTCCAAATCTGACTAACGTGTACTCAAAGTTGACCACCACTAGGGAAAAGCATGCTAATTCTGATTACCTTGTTATTTCTCTGAATTATTTCTAAGCCCATTGAGAATGAGAAAGAAACCACACCAGTGGCATTATTAACCTTTTACCTACTTCTGCTATTTTTATAACAGAAAACTTAGACTCTTTCAACTTCATGAACTGTTTTAGCCTATATACTAGTTTGAGGTTGCTGTTTCCTCCTTCCCATTTGCAATGTTCAAGTTGTAGGAAATCATAGTAAAGAAGTGCCTGAAAAATGTTAATGTTTTATTACTCATAGTTGAAATCAAGCTTCTTAAATTATCATTGCTAAAGGGGAAAATGTGGCTTACAATCCCTTTTCATGGACCTCCAAGCCGTCATCAGTATAAAAACGAAAATAATGAATTGCCACTCTGAGCAGTATTTTACCTCTAAACAACCCTACTGACCCTAAACCCTGCTTTCTCCATGGCATTTAGAAATCAGCTGAAAAGCCTGGATATTGAAACGGGAAGTAGACCTCTGGTGCTTTGGAGTGATTTTTTATTTGTTTGTTTCTTAAAATCCAGGAGACTATACTCATTGGTAGCTATGTTGGTTGTGCAGTAAATACAACAGAATCCAAACTCTACAAGCAGTGATACCTTTATCGGACCAACACAAAAGCATATTATACATTATGCAAGCTTTTGAAGCTTCACTAGCTTTTTCATCAGACAAAAATGTTTTGTTAACAGAAGAAGCAACTTGGTTAAGTTATGTACGGAATTAGTGGGCTTTCGAAGTTTGATCACTTGATATCTGTGTAATACAAACAAGCATGGCTACTCTTAGGAAAAATAATGGATCCCTCTGCATGGGGGAACTTTGTAAAGTAGCATACACTAATAGTTTTCACATAAAAGAGCTTTTAGAATTGTGTTGGATATACCCCAAGAAACCAATGTTTTTGTAATGCAGGGTGTGTTTATTTTAGCAGCAGTTTAAATACAGCAGAAGCTATTGAACTCATGTGTTGTTTTGCTGGGTAGGAGAACAGATGCTTTCTAAATTCCTGCAGTCAGAAAGGAGGTGAAGTATGTAAAATGAAAGACATTTGAAGCAGTACTGATACAAAGCAGCTTGTTGCATAAGATATGGACTTGGTGTATTCTTTCTTTACTTTTAGAAAGTTTCTGAATTGCTGCATAAATAGAAACCCATTTTGAGATCAGAGCCTTGCAGCTGGGAAGAATTGTTTCAAACATTAATGGCTGCAGGGACCACAATGAGTGAAGAGGTGCCTGAAAAGGAAAATAGCAGACCTCTTTTCTCTCAAGCCACCATTGTGTGGAGTGCATCAGTATGTATTGTGGGATTGGTCTGGGGGTTATGCCACTTATGACAACATGTTTCAGGCATTGCTGGGTCTTGCGAGAACAAGTATGATTCACTTGTGTCCAAAATATCACAAAAACAGGCAAACCAACAACACCAGATTCACTCTAGTTTTATGGAACTAGGCATTTTTCCCAGCCCTCTGGCAGTTCAAGTCCTTTATGTATTTACCACACTCTTTGTCTTGGCCCCTTAAAGGCCATGTCAGCACTGAAAGCAGGGCTGTTAATTTCATCTGGACTATCAAATCCAGCTGGTGTAAAGGGCTGGAGTCTTATCACAGAGCTAAGATTATAGAATCAAGACAAATGGTTCTTACCAACTGACACCCCCCCTCTCCCCCCGGAAAGTTCTGCAGTAGGAGAGGTCCTTTCAAGACAGCCTTTATATCTATATCCTTCTGCCAGCACTGACTCCACAAGCCTTAAGATGCTTCTTCACTTTTCAGTTGTGAATAGGCAAGAATTCATGACTGCCTCAATAAGTAACAATAGTACTAGTTGTTGCTGTCAACTTCAGCTTATGGTGACCCTATGAATGAGAGACCTCCAATTGTCTCTATCCTCAACAGCCCTGCTCAGGTCTTGTAGATTCAGGGCTATGGCTTCCTTGATTGAGTCTCTTCACCTGCAATGTGGCCTTGCTCTTTTCCTGCTGCCTTCTAACTCGCCAATGTGAGCTGTACCACCCATGGCATCCATGAAATAATTCTATAGCTGGATCATGGTATTTTCTAGTAAGTCATGTCTTCTCATAATATGGCCGAAATACAACAGCCTCCAGAGAGAGCTCAGACGAGGACCTATTTCTTTGTCTTTTTAAACAACCCACAGAATCTATAGAACTCTTCTCCAGCACCACATTTCAAATGAATTGATTCTCTTGCTTTCAACTTTCTTCACAACCCAGCTTCCACAACCGAAGAAATGGGAAATATGGTGACATGAATACTTCTAACTTTAGTTTTCAGTGATATATCTTTATAGTACAATATTTTGTCTAGTTCCTTCATATATGCCCTTTCAAGTCCCATTTTTATGATTTTATAATTACCAGAAGCCTGTATTTTGATTGTGTCAAGGTATGGGAAATCTTAAAGTACAAGGTGTTTCAAAAAGATGAATCCGATTTGAAATTGCTATATCCCTGAACCACAACTGCCCATGAATGAAACTCTTAACACTTAAAAAGGTGGGGTATAGAGTTTCTAATTATTACCGTTAGATGAGCCTCCCAGTGCATAAGCAGCCCCAAGTTTCAGTTATTCACAAGATAGCAATCCTGCAACATTGGGCTAAATGAGATAGTCTCCTTTTACGGCATACATTTTTAGATTTGTTTCTGCCTCAAAATGGTTAGTAATAGTTGATAACTTGTTAAACCATTTGAAACTTTTTGTGTAATTGTAATATGTTGCCATCATGAAATATACTATTGTGAAATTGCATTCATCGGTTTGAAACACCCTGTATATCAAGTATCCATCAGTGGCTTGAAAGAAGTTTTAT